GTGTGTGATGAGCGGTGTGTGGTGATGAGTGGTGTTTGATGAGTGTGTGATGAGCGGTGTGTGGTGATGAGTGGTGTGTGAAGATGAGTGGCGTGTGAAGATGAGTGGCGTGTGATGATGAGTGGTGTGTGCTGATGAGTGGTGTGTCTTGAGGAGTGGTGTGTGCTGAGTGGTGTAAGATGAGTGGTGTGAGATGAGTGGTGTTAGATGTTATGACGTAAAATAGCAGATAAGACAGGGGCCTCTTAAAAACTCGACCAGTTGTAACTGGACCTTTGTCACTTGTAAGTGTGCCCTCTGGGGCTCTGGAAGTTGCGGGTTTGGAAGGTTTTGTGTGGTGGGTGGGTGGGTGGGTGGGTAAATATCCTTGGCATTGGTTGGAGAATGGAATGGCACCAGCAACCCAGTTTCAGAAGACTCTCATAACAATGAATGCCATACAGTGTGAGAGTGTCACCAGTTTTTGAATATGTCTTTTTGGCCAGTGGAGTGTCACCCGCTTTTTGTTTAATTTGTTTTGGCCGGAAAGTGTCACCAGCTTTTTGAATTTTGTATTGTAAGAGTGTCACCAGTTCTTTATTCATCAGTTTTGCTTAGATCAAATGCAAATCTGAGTTATCGGATGTATTTTTTGCATATTTGCCACAAACAATGTCTCCAGTTCTTGAATATATCATGTTCCTTTTTGCCAAAGCACTGTGAGAGTGCCACTGCAAGCTCCTTTGTTCCGTTTGGTAGTTAGTTTGGGTCGGAACCTGGTTCATTGCCAGACCTGGGGCTCAGAGTCTATGACACTGTGAAAGTGTCATGTTTGAAACTGTTCATTCAGCAATGTAATTTTGGACACTGTGAGAGTGTCAGAAACAGTTGACCACAAACTTACTTTACTGAACTTACTTGATTTGAAAGTGACAGGTGGCACCAAGTGTGTGCGTTCAACTCCCCTCAGTCCAGGTTCAATGTTTCCTATATTCAACTTTGTATATTCAGAACAAGTATCACAGGAACCTCAGCCAACCGATTTTTGGTAGCTTCATGCAGTTGAACTTGTTTTCAATACACATCATCCAGAATGAAGAACACATCAGACCTTGCATACGCTGCCATAGTTTTGCGCCATGGCCCACAGCCTGGAGGAGCCTGCCGTTTGGGACCTCAGATCATTCTCATGGGGGGACACTGTGAGAGTGTCACAGGACACTGTGAGAGTGTCATCTCAAGGCAGGTGGTCTTGTTTTTGAAGACTTGGAAGTTGTGTTGGTGCCATGGTGTTGTGCCGCCCTGAGTTTTCAAGGATGGACACGGTCGACCTTACAAGGGTCAAAAACATGTCAAAAGTAGAACATAGTAGGCATTCCAACTAATAGACCAGAAATACCATGAATCATACCAAGAAAGGCAAAACATAGACCTGGACCTACCGGCCATCAATCTGTGCCAGCATGCCCTGGAGCTACGGTCCATCCCAGCAGCGCAGGGAGAATCGTTTGTGGAGAGATCTCAAAGAGGAGAACAGGCTGCTGTTCGAACACAATGAGAAATTGAAGGACGAAAACTCAGTCCTGAAGGCCCAAACTGATCAATGGGAGGCACAAGCAGGGCCTATTATCCGTCAAAGGAATGAGCTCCAGGCGGATTTGGCCAGCATGACGGAGGGGTTCATGCAGCAGCGACAACTGGCTCAACAGCTGTCATGCGAAGTGGGACAGCTGGCCCAAGAGAAAGTGGATTTGGCAGAGCCGTTCCGAGTTTCACACTCAGGCGCGGCAACTCCTGCAGGGCCAATTGGCAGCCCTGCGGGGCGAGGTTGCAGAGAAGCAGGTGCAAATTGAGCAGAGCGCCAGAGAGAACAAGACCTTGACCTTACAGCAGAAGCAGATGCTGTTACAGCAGCAGCAGTTGCAAAACCAATTGGTTCTCCGGCAGCACGAGATCGCAATGCTGAAGGACAGGCTGAAGGGCCAGGCATGGGATGAAGAGCCCGAACCTGACCAGGCCGAACATGACCTTTGAACAGGTCAAGTACCTCTCCTTCCCAGAGGGCTGGGGAAGGAGGTTGCTGGCCTTATTTGCCATGCTCTGATTGAAAAGGAGCTGCTGCTTCCTCAAAACCTCATCAACAGCCAGCTCAAAGGCTACACTCCCCCCCAACTGGGACATATCAGCGCCTGCTGCAAGAATGGTGGCCCCCTTTTTATGCATCGAGTAGGGGTTGGTGCCTGTCCCTCCCTTGTTCAAGGGGTGCACCAAGAACAAGTCTGGGGTGGCCACCCAGGTGTATGCCAGACCACAGTCCAACAGAACCTTCTCCACCTCCCCATTGGTCCCATGGAGGATCCCAAAATGGAAATCACCTGCTGAGCAATCTCAGGCGCGATGGCTGCCATGTCAGAGAATGAAAGGTAGCGAGAAGCTTTCCAACGCAAAGAACTTTGAGCAGTTTCAAGCTTGCAGCATATAAGTCCATTGACTTGCAAATATCCAGATCAAGTAACAGTCAAACTGCATACATTCAGCCAATGTGGCTTGACATGGTAGCATGGCATGAGATGAATGAACATGGTCTTCGCAAGACTTAAATGTGGTTACAAGAATTGCTACAGCCTATGCAAGACAGCATGGCTCTAGCAAATGCACGCAGCTTAAACACGAACTCTTTCACATGCCAACAAAATGATTGTTGCATTTCATGTGGCCAATGTGGCTTGACAGTAGGACATGGCATAGAATGCATGCACATGAAGCCATAAATGGCTTTATGTATGTGTTGTGGGGCATGCATTGCAAGACAACATGCTGTTTGTAAGCGCGCCAAAGTTCTAGGTTGGTATAATTACATGAAAAATATTCTGTATGCACTCATGGCAGCCAATCAGCTTGAACATGACACAAAAAGTTCAACACCACACCATCATGGACCTGCAGCTCAATATGACAAAGCCCATCCATGTTAATTAAAAGAAACATAAACCCTCACAAAAACAAAAGCAGTCTATGAAAAAACATCCACATCATCAATCCCTGTCATGGCTTGCTGCATACAAAAATTTGCGTTTTGTATTTCTATGTTGGTTGCATTAGCACTCATTTATGCTTGAAAAACAATGAAATTATGTGTCCATAGGTATTTAGATTACTACTCATAACCAGTTATAACCAATTCACACTAACTACCTATAACTATGCTAAATGGTTTTCAAACTATACATAAAAGATGTTAAGTTGTTGTAGAGTTCTAGAACTTATGTTTTTAAGTTGCCAAGTGTTATAGAAGTTATACTATAGCATACCATGTTATACCATACTTATACCATATATATATAAGTATGTTATACTTGCTTTTATATAGTTGTATTTTTGTATTTTTTGCCGTTTTTCCCTCAAAACTAAAAAGGTCAATTTGGATGCAAAATCAACTTTCAATTCTCGTCTACCTTTGAAGAAATGTGTTCATGTCATGCTTCACCTAAGCAGCAGCGCACAGAGGCAAAACAAGTAACACACGCTAGATATTAATAATCTATCATTCACTGCACCGTTTTTGGAATGTGGTTGCTGTTTCAAAGCTCTAACTTTTCAATGAGCACCTGAAACTCGTTTGAGCCTTCCACATTCCTGGTCTACGCACAAGAAAACTATTTTTCACATGTGTGAAGATATTTGGCTTGCTCGTTGCTCCTTTGGGCCATTAATCTCACCTAGTGTAACTTCAGGGTGCGTCGTCCCAGGTGCCCAGGCCTTCGGCTGCTTCGGCCAAGGCCTGTGCACTTGTCATGACGCTATGTGAGAAGGATTCTGCGTACAAGAAATGGAAGCCCTTATGCGACAAGTGGACTCATGAGTTTCTGTTTTGAGCCCACATGATCCTGAAGGTGGGTCATGGCTGTCAGACCAAGAGCAACCGTGGGGCATTGGTTGCAAAGCATGCAGCTTCAGCAAATGCAGCAGTAAGTTCGCTATGTATGCTGTCAGAGAGGCAGGCTCCCTGCAGCATGAGAACTTAAAAAAAC